TAAACTTAGTATAATGGCACATTATGTAGTGTAATTAAATTAAAGAATTTTTTTAATATATATATATATATATATATCAATACATAATTTTATACAAAAAGAAAGAATTAAATATTAAAGCTTCTAATTTTTATTTTTTTAAAGGTTAAAGTTAAGCCGTGGAGAACTTTTCGATTTAATGAGTGTGTTTGTAATCCTTACAATGCTGATTTTGATGGTGATGAAATGAATCTTCATGTACCTCAAACTGAGGAGGCGCGTATAGAAGCAATAGAACTTATGGGTGTCAAAAAGAACCTAGTAACTCCAAGAAACGGAGATCCTATCATTGCAGCCATTCAAGATTTTGTCACATCCTCTTTTTTAATTACTAAAAAAGATGTCTTTTACAATCGTGCACAATTTTTACAAATCTGCTCATATATGGCAGATGCCGCTATACACATTGATATACCATCACCTACAATATGGAAACCTGTTAAACTATGGACTGGAAAGCAAGTATTTAATGTATTAATGCGTCCTAATAAAAAATCTAATGTGTTGGTTAATCTTGAAGCTAAAGGAAGACTATTTGAAAAAAAAGAAGGAAGGATTTTTGATCTTTGTCCAAATGAGGGTTATGTAGTTATTCAGAATAGTGAGATAATGTGTGGTGTTATTGATAAATCTTTAGTAGGTGATGGTAATAAACATTCACTGTTTTACACAATACTTTGTGATTATGGATCTGAGGAAGCAGCTAATGCTATGAATCGTTTGTCTAAATTATGTTCACGTTGGTTGGGTAATTATAATGAAAAATTTCAGTTCATAAAAAAAATTCAGTAATTCTGAATTAAACTAAAACTTTGCATCTATAACATAAAACAGCAAATCATGGTTTCTCAATAGGAATAAATGATGTTCAACCTGGTGAACAGTTAAGGGAGAAAAAAGATCATCTGATTGAAATGGCAAATAAAGCATGTGATGATCTTATTGAACTTTCAAAGTCTGGTAAATTGGAAAATCAGCCTGGGTGTAATGAAGGGCAAACACTTGAAGCTCATATTTCTGGTGTTCTATCAAAAGTCCGTGATGATGCTGGTCAGATTTGTATGACTGAGCTAAACAGACACAATTCACCTTTAATTATGGCCACATGTGGATCAAAAGGTTCTTTTGACTTAATTAAAGTTTATTCTTTAATAATAATATATATCTATTTACATATATTCAATTTTTTGATTTTTATTGTAATAATAATTTCGAATTTTATTATAATTTAGGCTCAAAAATTAATGTTTCTCAAATGGTTGCTTGTGTTGGTCAACAAATTATAAGCGGTAGTCGTATTCCTGATGGATTTCAAGATCGTTCACTGCCTCATTTTCCAAAACATTGTAATTATGTTGATTATGATTATGTTAGATAATAAATCATTTAAAATATACACAAAGTTTATAAAATTATTTGTTATTACTTATAGCAAAAACACCTGCTGCAAGAGGATTTGTTCGAAATGGCTTTTATAGTGGTCTAACTCCTACTGAGTTTTTATTTCATGCCATTTCAGGTCGTGAAGGTCTTGTGGATACTGCTGTAAAAACTGCTGAAACTGGTTATATGCAAAGAAAATTGATGAAGGTATTATTATTGTTTGTTTAATAATTGTAATTTTTTAATTTTTTTCTAGATTAATTGTGTGTGTACAACAGGCCTTAGAAGATCTTGTGATTCATTATGATATGTCTGTTAGGAATTCATCAGGTGGAATGGTCCAATTTTATTATGGTGATGATGGTTTGGACCCAGCATTTCTTGAAGACAATGTTTTACCAGTAGACTTGAAACGAAATTTACAACATGTTATTGTAAGCAATAATATATAACACTTTTGGTTTTATTATTTTTTTTTGTTTTCACTAAAAAATATTAAAGCTAATAATAAATCTTTTTATTTCTAGAATATTACTTCATCAGTGAACGAGAAAGCTCTTTTACCATTTGAAATATTAGAAATAACAGAAACAATATTAGAAAGTAAAAATTATGTGGAATCATGTACAGAATCATATATAAACTTATTGAAGGAATTTATTAAAAAAGAAATTGTTGATAAACTTGTTGCAACGCGTGAAGCATATGGATTAATGAGATGTAATGAAAAAATTGATGATGAATACTTGGATGTTGAAATGGCATGTGATGGTATATCTCTATTTTATTTTTATCTAAAATAAAATTATTTTACAATTATTTAATAATAACATTTACTTTGGTTGATTTAGCTGTTATGAAGAATGTTGTAAATAATGTACTTAAAATTACCAAATCACAGTTATTAAAATTTTTAGATGTAAATTTATACAAATTTATAAGATCAAAAATTGAACCAGGTAAAACAATTTTTCCACTTATAAAAAAACAATTTAAGTTTTGAATTATGTTTTACCATCAAATTTTTACCATTTATAGGGACTGCTGTTGGAGCACTTGGTGCACAATCCATTGGTGAGCCTGGTACTCAGATGACTCTTAAAACTTTTCATTTTGCTGGTGTAGCCTCTATGAACATTACTCTCGGTGTTCCACGTATAAAAGAGATTATTAATGCTTCTAAAACAATAAGTACACCGATAATTACTTGTAAACTTGTTAATGATGTTGATGTAAAATCTGCTAGAATTGTAAAAGGTCGTTTGGAGACAACTTATTTGGGAGATGTAAGCAAATTTTAAAGTATTGCTTCTATATAAATATAATGATAAAATCTTATTCTATATATGCTTTAAATTTTTTTTAATGAGTATAGATTGCCAAATATATTGATGAAATTTATGAACAAGATCAATGCTATCTAGCAATAAAATTAGACTTAGATGCAGTTACAAAACTTCAGGTTTGAATTTTAATTTTTAATTTGTAATTGTTTAATCAATTATTTAAATGCAAATATAAATATATTATATATTCAAATACATTTATAGTTGGAAACCAATATAAAAGATATTGCAAAGGCAATTGTTAATGATCGAAAGTTAAAATTGGAAAGTGTAAGTGATTTATAATTGTTTTTTTTTTTGAATAACACTATAATAATACTCAAAAACTATTTTTTCACTTTACCATAATACAGTCTAATATTCGAGTTTCTTCTAATGATCAAATCGATGTGTATGTACCTGATAAAGAAATAATGAAAGATCCATGTTGCCTATATTATAGATTACAGGTACTTAAACGTGCTTTACCCAAAGTTATTGTTAAAGGTATTCAAACTGTAACAAGAGCTGTTATCAGTGAAGCAAAAGCAGATAGGAAACAATTACTTGTTGAAGGATATGGTTTGCGAGATGTAATGACAACCGAAGGTATTGTAGGTACTGAAACAACCAGTAATAATGTTAACGAAGTTCACAAAGTTTTGGGAATTGAAGCAGCCAGGTAATAATTTTTTCATTTATTTGATTTTGTTGATTAGAAAAATTATAAGATTTTTTTTTCTTAAACTTAGGAATACAATCATTCAAGAAATTCAATATACTATGGGTCGCCATGGTATGAACATTGACCCAAGACATGTTATGTTACTGGGTGATATTATGACATACAAGGTAAGGTGATTGTTATATAGTTGTTGATTACATATATGTGTGTTTATATTTTTTTAATCTGTAAATTATAGGGAGAGGTGTTGGGAATTCATAGATTTGGTATATCAGATATGAAGAGTAGTGTGCTGATGTTGGCATCATTTGAAAAAACAACAGATCATTTATTTGATGCAGCTTTGCATGGTAAAACAGATTGTCTTGAGGGTGTTAGTGAATCAATTATCATGGGTATACCAATGCAACTTGGGACAGGATTATTTAAGTTGATAAGAAAATCACACTTAGGTGATGAAAGGCCACAAAGAAGAAAATTATTATTTGATAATAATGAGCACCACGTAAATTTCTTATATGATTCATCACAAGTTTTATAGCTGATAGTTAAATGTTTAATTTTTAAAAATAAATAGAAAAAAAATTACAAAATAATTAATTTATAAAATTCATTTAATGTAATTAATCGTGCACCATGTATCTAATTAAAACTAAGTTAATAATTAATAAATTAAACTTTAGTACATAGAAATTATTTTGCGTATGACTATATAATATAAATTATATACTGTCACGGTCTAATTCAATTAGATACGGGAGGTATTTTTTTTTTCAATTGCTTATTTATTTTACTATGCAATTTATTTGAAATAACCAATAAAAATAACATCGGAAAAAAAAAATAATATAAATTTTATATATTAGTATATATTAACAAATAATAAAAAAAAAAACTAAAATTTCTACGACTCTTAGTAAAACAATCCAACTAGATAAATATTCTAAATATTTTAAGAGAAGACCTTGCAGAATCGTTCGTTTTATAAGTTTTGATTTAAACATAGTTGCACTGTTGGGATGCTGGAAAAGGACAGAGGACGGGTCACTGTGCCACACCCGTACCTTGTTAATTGCCCGTCCTTTTTTATACTATTTTGCAGAGCACCCGTACCATTGCCCGTCCTTTTCATGTGTTCCGTTGTGGGTTTCTATAAATAACTTCTTTAACAACCTCTTTAAAAAATAAAAATTGCCTCGCCTATAACAAGACCGTCTTGGTAGCCTCTATATACATCAATTGCTGATTTGCAGAATATATTGGCAAACTACTTCTCTCAAATCCCAATTTAGTCCTCATTAGAGGCCTGCATCGGGTTGGGCGGGTTGGTCTTAACATCAAATAACATCGGGTCGGGTTCGGGTTGTAATTATGACCCGAGTTTGACCCGAATTGACCCGAATTTAAATGAATTATATATGAATTAGCCATTTTTTCAATCCTCTTATGAAAGAATTGAAAAAATTGGAGTCTGATGATGCCATCTGGGTAAAAAATGAAATTAAAAGACATTGTGGTAATCTAACAATTAATGATGATAGTGTTGATGCTGACAGTAATAATGATGATAATTCTATGCAAGCAATATCATCAACTACAATTTCAACTTCAAATTCAAATGTAGAGTTAGGTGATTTTAGCAAATATTATGATGATAGTGATGATGAAGATGATGACAAAGATGAAGTTGATTTGTATTTATCAACAAAAATACAAAAAGATGATAACTTTAATATTTTAGAATGGTGGAAAGACCATCAACATGTTTATCCAAGACTTTCAAGGCTTGCTGCCTATTATATGTTCCAGTCCACCTAGTGAAGAGAGTTTAGTGCAGCTGGACTTACAGTTAGTGAGCTTCGCTCAAATTTAAATCCACAAACAATTGATAGTATTCTTGTATAAAGAAGTTCATTATAGTAAAATTTTTCTTTCTTGTAACTAACAATTGCAATAAAAGTTATTTTTTAAATAACATCGTGTTACAACGTTGTTAAAAAACGGGTTGAGTTCAGTTTTGGATTGAAATTTCTTGTGTATATACAAGTCGGGTTCGGGTTGCAAATTATAAATTTATACGGGTTCGGGTTGGGTAATCATTCAATTATGATGACCCGTGCAGGCCTCTAGTTCTCATTGCCACTGAAAATTCTAAATTGGGCTTTTAGGATCATTTCTTCGATAATGTCGGGATCTCCGTATCGCATTACTCTGGTCCATTCGTCCTTTTTTAATTTCGTTCCAATTATGACGAGCGTATTTTGATGCTGTGTTTTTCAATGGAATATTAATATTGTTTGTTGACAGACCGAGCAATAGGGCCATTCCTCAATTATCATTAAGCTTTCCGGTTCAAACTATTTTTGAAAAAAGGTAGCTTTTGCGGTAGTTGGAGCTTCTTGATATTTTTTATAAAATAATCTTGCCCAATTTCTGCTACTAAGAGAGGCAGTTTGAACAGAAACCTTACTTCTGACTTGATTGATAATTTTTGTTGTAACTAATTTGCTCAAATTTGTAATTTTTCTTTATCTAATATATAGTAGTTCGTTCACTGTATTGTATGGATTAATGAATGATAATATTGGCCAATTTTAGTATAACGTGACACCCGCATTTCTCGAAGAATAAAAACAGAAACTACGATGCAGATCATCTATAATCATTAATTGCTTATAGTAACAATTGGTCAACTTCAAAATACTAAAACAAAAAAAA